ATTCTCACCCATTCGCTCTCGTTAATACACCACGCAGTGAGAGAACAAAAAAGGAGAGGAAAGAAAGAAGGGAATAAGAAGGACGGAGGAAGGCAGGAAAGACGAAGGAAGTCAGCAAAAAAAAAGAGGGGAAAGCAATCGAATACCTATTGAGTGTGACGACAGAAAGGAGTAGGCTCGTTTTCCTGTGACAGTTTTCTTCGGTTGGTTGCTTGGCTCAAACACAAGACTTACAACAAGAAGAAGCACGGGAAAGAGAAGAGTGTGAAGAGTCTGAGAAGCATATATATATATATATACGTTTATACGTACGCACACACAGTGATAGGCGTCACACGTTCTAAGAAAAGAAGAAGCGATACCTAGCTATAGCTACATAAACAACAATATATATATATATATATTGTTATTTGTATAGCTATATTTGGGTGTATCGCTGCCTGTCTGCTACCGCACCACACACACACACACACACCATCGAGTGTTTTCTACTTAGTGTTGTGTTTCTCCTAGGTATTTCGTTTATTTTGGTTTCTTTTCCATTTCAGCTTTTCTGTTCTATTTCGGTTAGCCCTTTTTCAGTATCGCTCTTGTTTGTTTCGTTTTGTTTTCCTTTGTTTACCATTTTTCTTGGATTCTTTCCGTGTTGTTGGTTTGTTGTCGGCGAAAATCATAAATACGTGCAAGGAAGACAAAGAAAAAAAAAANTTTTTTTTTTTTTCTTTGTGTGTGCGCGCTAGCTGTGCCATTGTGCCATAGCCTTTCACGGTTTGGCACTTGAACTGCTTTGATTTTTGTTTTTTACCGTCCGCGCCACCCCGTTGCCCGTCGTACTCGGCATTAAAATGCTTGCGGGCCCAGAGAGCAAACCATTGGACCATCGGCTGTCTGCGTCCGATGAGGTACATGCATCTTTGAGTGGTGTGGGGAGGGGCATATCCGCAGTCTACACCTGCGCAATGAGCAGCGGCGAGGGCATAATAAACAACTACAGCCAGGTGGCACCATTGGGACCATCATCTTCGTCTGTAGACTGCTTCCACGTTAGCAGCTCTAGCAGCTCTCCCAACAGGATACAGATGAACGGGACAGTTGGACAACAACAGAGCGGAGGCTGGAAAGTCGAGCAGTCGCAGCCAATGAAGACAGATCGGTACGTTTCTACACTCGAGGAGTCCCACTACACCCACACTGCCAGCACCAGTAGCAGAATCAGTTCCAAGGTGGTTTATGTGGGTACCCCGTTGACACCATATACCAACAGCCAAGGCGGGCCATTGACTTCAGGAGCGCCACCAGTGAGCTCCTGCTCTAGGGCTGGAGCATTCTCCGTTGTTGCGTCCACTGATTACGGCAATACTAATAACGCCACTTGTACATCATCGATTATGGGTGAAGGCTCTCCCCCAACTGGGGTACCGCGTCAATTGATGAATATCAACATTGGTGGATCTACAGGTGGTGGTGGTGGTGCTTCTGCTTCTGCTTCTGCACCAGGCAGCAACTCGTTGCGCATGAGCAACTCTATGGAGGTGGCTTCATGGTCGCCGCAAGGCACACCCACCGTGCCCGGCGCCCCGCCTCTTATTTTTGCTAACTATGACGGTGTTGTTCGGCTCAGGACACACCCGCTGCGTTTCAAGATGTTGCCATCACCTGTACCGTATGACATTGTCTTCGCGGGGTGCCCCAACGACCCTCCGTCGAAGCGACTCGCACATTACCAGGCAATTATGTTACGTTGGTATCAACACATTGTGGTGGCACAGGAAAATGTTCGTGCTCGCATTCGTCAGCGCTGCCCCCCGCCGCCTGAAAGCATCCAGAAGCTGGGAGTACCACCCGATGCGACGGAGCTGCAGAATTGGTCCACGCAGTGCTGTCGCTGGTGGGATGAGACATCGCGGAAGCGGACGCGTCGTGGTCACCGCGGCGGAAAAACCCCAACGGGTGGAAATGGTTCGAGGGTATCCCCTCAGCAGCAGCAGCA